GCATGGGTCCTCTAGTGCAAATAGAGCATATATTAATGCAGATATAACTACAGTATTTCTGAATCCTTAAAGAACAATTAATTACCTCCAAAAGCTACACGTTCAAACAGTTTGGATGTCGATAAGCTGATGACTTGGAAAGGTTGATGATTGCAGAAATAGAAATCTATAAATAGACGTACGTACTTACGGTACGGTTTACTTGAGGTACGTACGCACTTAATGTTAAGTTGCAGGTAAGCTAAGTATATAGGTATAATATACTGCAATTTCAAATAACGTACTGTTGCTTTTCACAAATTTATCAATGTGACCCAAACACCTTCGGAACATCACAAAAATCCCAAAAAGGATAAATGACATGACAATTAAGAATTAACCCATAACGAACTAAATTAAGATTATAAACTTAACTCGTAAATATTGATTACGTTCACAAAATCGATCAAAACTATCAATCTAAGTCATTTAATTCGTCTAAACATCTGGGCAACTGGGAAATGTCTTGGAGCTTCAAGCATGGTTGCATCACAGGCTATTTATATGACCTGGCACTGCGACGAGTACTTATTGGCTATTTGAATACACAAATGGTCGTAATTCTGCAGGACGAGGCATACGGTCAGATAGGCGTCAGTGTTGGTTGTATATAGCAATGGGACAGTGAGGCAACCCAACAGACAACATGGTAAATGGCCCTCAGAGACGTTTGCCCATTGAACTAGTGACCTCAGAAACAACAAAAAAGATCTTGTCATACCTCGTGAACATTTCATAGTAGTCTATAAGTCCTAGTCGTATAACTATATTGATATTAAAAAAATAAAACAAATTAACGATACCTCTTGTAAGAAAGCGTCATTAACTAATCACAGCCCAATGATAACTACTAACTGTGTTTAGAAACAAAGTTATCACTCTACAACAAGGCAACTAAACAAACAACAAGGTAAGATGTAACAAATAAGGCAATCCTTATAATGTATGATGTAATACTTACTTACCTAATGATTAATTACTTCCTGTTAAGTTTTTAACTTTGTTTAAATTACGATAAATCAGTTATTATTGGTTCGATTTTCATCACCAGATGCTCAATGGATGCGAAATTTTGTGCTCTACAATTCATTTGCGATGTGTTTTTCTGTAGGATGGATGGTCTTTTGACGTTTTAGCGAAAACTAAAAAATAAACCTAAATTTAAAGGTTTGTGTGGTCCCAGGTCAGAAGCTTACCTGGAAAAATGGGACAAACTTCAAATCCTTTTACTTCTATATAAAATAGACATATAAAAACAATTTCCAGCTTTCCGGAAATTATTTCCAGGCACAGCCAGTTTTTTAAACTAATTTTACTGGCCTGAAATGCAAACTAAAGTTACTAGATCCAAATTACGATTTTATTTCAATATTGTTGTTCTATTTGCTTTAATCTGAACCTACCATATTAAATATTGTTTCTGCAGGTCATGCAACGAGTGAAATGTCTATCTCAATTGCTTCAGAGCTTCATTATTTCTTCATTGTTCACGACTCTTGTATATCATTCATAACTGCGTTTATTATTTTATTCACGAGGCTGTTAAGAATGGACTGCCATTACTCTACCTGCTAAAGTAATATTAAAATATGTAGCATTGTCTGATTGGACGTTTATGCGTAGATTATACAGTACACACGTCTAAACCATCTATGGTTTAAGTTATTATCTGACATCACTATTAGAATCCACATACATAAAAGTTTACGTTTCTAAATCTTCGTAACGCATTCAGTATTTCTGAGTTAAGTTTTCCTTCACACTTATTTACGACTGACCTACTGTCTGCTCAGTAGGTTGCGACACCTAAGATAGAATTTCCGGATTCCAACAAAAGTGACAAATTATTAACTGGACTTTCACTTTTCGCTTAAAAGCCACTGAACGATTTATGTTGACATTATACATTATATCAAGCTTGTCATATACTTAGTAAAACTTAAATTTTAAACTATGGCTCGAGAATATTTTATGTCAAAAATCTCAAATACCCTTTGTCAAGTTGATTTGAATGAAATAAAACAAATAATAATATTCGATCGGAAAAAAACATATTTATTTGTTCATTTATTGCATTTGCTTATTGTTCAACTTGAACAGATTGTAAACTAAATAAGGTTAAAAAAAAATACATACACATGAATTTATTTGAATACGATATATTTTTTATAGGGAGAGGAGGGAAAATGCTGTTAAGCACAAAGGTAACCAGCCTGTAGTGTGAGACCCCTGAAATTATCAGACTTCTCACTAAAAAACACCCTCTACTCTGTTGGACACAGACCTGGAATTGTTTGTCACATTACTTCAAGTCAGGCCAACATGTGACCTAAGCCCTCAGGGTTCGCACCGTTTCTGGCATTGAATAGCATGATAAAACTATTGTCTAAATTTTAATCCACCATTTGTTTGATAAAACTTATAAAAAATGTTTAGTGTGTTAAATACACCAATTGTACAGCCTATTATTTCATTTCAAAGAATAGCATAACTTTTTATTTTGGTTAAACTCTTTTTGGTGAACTGTTAAGTTCACTTTGTTAACATGGTAAACTCTACTATGGCAGACAGCTGAATGAAATCAATCAGGAGAATATTTTTGGTAACGTAATTGCACTTTTTTCATAAAAACCATGATATCGTGTGTTACAGATTAGCAATCCTAGTTACAATATTTTATTGTGAAAAGTTACTTTACACAATGTATCGATTTTCAAGAGTATTCACTCAAAAGCATTCTTTTGTACAATGATGATATGTAATGAATATAGAATATTACTAGAAAAATGTCTGAATTAACACAGTGAGTGTGTACTAATGATATTAATTATAGTTTGAAACTAAAAACATAGACGTGTGATTCGAATGCTTTCATCTTGACGAGTCACACTAGACGTGAGAAGTATCTCACAGTAGGACTCTGATACAGCTGTTCTCTAAACATGCGTGTGGCTGTCATGTTAGTACTTCAACGAACAGAATAATGGTTAATATTCATTACAATGTATAATATAGGGTTTAATTATGCGTGCACTGTGAGTATTTTTTATCTAGGTATAGTTTTATCTATGGCTGTACATAGCAGACGATGAACTGAAATAAACAACTAGAATCATTATGCTGTAGAATAAAAAATAATGAAAAAAACTTACAGACCGTCAAAGTTGTTAGGCAATTCATTTACTCTTGAACAACGACAAATATTGTCAGAACAACAGTGGTCTTGAATCATCATAACAATTAACAAACCATAATTTTCAAAACCAATCTTTTGCTATGGTGTTTTGGAGTTGATGGTAATGGGTTGCTATTACAAGTTTTAGGGTTAAAACTATTCTTGTGGTTTAAAATATGATAAACTATCAGTTAAGTAATTCAGTAATTGAAACATTAAGATCATATTTCATTGGATCATATTCGTCATAAGAACATGATAATTGTGTATTAATTGAAGGACAAGTACAAGCGTACACTGTTATTAATTGGAAGGTTTACAATTTTACTAAACATTTTTATATAATAAACACCGTTAGCCTTGTATCTTCAAGTTTAGTGTTAGCAACGAACCATATTACTGGATAAAGCAAATCTTTAAAATATAACCACCAATTCTCAAATTTGAGGAAGAGGATGGAATTGGGTTACCATATTTTTTAGGATTGCAAATATTTATGTTTTACTGTGTCAGTCAAATGAGTTTAAAAGTAGCCTTCTGAAATTGGGTGAATCCTCGATACCCTATTAGTTTTGAGCTTATAACGTTATTCGATTACGTAGCACCCAGATTAATGAAGAATCATTACATCATTCACCATCGCAATAGTTGCATACTGACCGATACACACACTGCTTCCCCGATTCCGTTCTCTTCCTCATACACAGAATTGCTTCAATTACTTGCATCAGGAAGACCAGAGGCGATATTCTGTCTCGCTCCCTCTCTTTGCACTTGGTTGGCTTTGCTTTGACTGACCACATGTCTCAGCTTACATAATTCGTTACATATTTACATTTTTTTATGATTGACAATATTCAGCCACGATATAGTGTTAAGGTCTATTCACTTAATCATGTTTTATTTGTATAGGTATTACTAATTATATGTTTGTGATAGGAAAACTTATCCAAAAGTTAGTTGTTATGCTATAATTTACTTTAAAGATTAACGGATGAATGAATCGTTCATAATCTCAAATATGTATCTTCAAAATAAATTAATTTACATGAAGGAGGTTAAATGAGTAAGGTATCTAATATAAGTATTCGTGCGGCTTTAAAGTAAAAAATGAGTCTGTTCGAATCGAACATGTCTTAGAAGATTCATTATCTCAAAGGTAGTTTTAGTAATGAAAACCTTTTTTAATGGCAAATTATGCCGAATTACGTGAAATGCTTTATATTTATGGGAAACAACGACATGATCCAAGTACATACAATGACTATTTTAAAAGTGTTTACCTAATTTTGAACGTGGAAGTTTTATTAGAAGCATGTATTACCAAAGTAAAAAAAGGAACCCTTAATGTAAAAGAAGACATCATTTGCCTCAATCTATATGTTTATCTATAGTATATTCCATTATGAAAACAACATATTTTATAACATTTACTCAGTATGTTAAATAATGACTAACATACTTAACATCATTTAGGAGATATAATAGATATAATAGAATATAATAGCAGTCTACGGTCTACGGTCTATAACAGGTATAAAAAGTTCAAAATAGTTATGTGTAACTATATATTTTGATATTCAGCAAATAAGACAAAATACAAAACATTTGTACAATCGTCAACAATCTATTAATCACATTTTTTTAAACTTATAAACATATATACAAAATATACATGGTATAGGTAGAATATTCAGGATTTTGATTTAATTTGTTGAGCTAATTAAAACTATCAATACGTAAACAGAATATTAATCTATTAACACACACTATAGCTATTTGAAAAGTTATAAAATTTTAAAGATTAAAAATCAGCAAAAATTTAGACTTAGAAATACTAATTAATTTGTATTTTTCGCTGGAATGAGTTTTTTAACGTTATTATTGAATTTAACCTACATAAGGAGAATACTTTTTGTTGTTAAAGCACTAAACCTATGAGTAAAGAATTTCTTTGGAATAATCTTAGTAACAACATTACTTATGATGAGGATGACTATGATGATCAATGGTGTGATTATGTGAATGATGATGTCACACTGATGACTTGATGACGTGTGATGATGATTCTGAGGTGATGATCACGATGAATCTAGATTACATTATCCTTGCGATGACTTAAAACTGGAGCTAAGGCCTGAAACAGAAGCAGACCTATCTTTATAACAACAGAATAAAAGTGAAACAATAATATCACAACAGGATAGAATTTCAAAAAATGTATAATTTTGATAGGTCTACTGTGCGATTCTTAGAATTTTTTAAATCGCATCAAAGTTTACTCGCATGTTTAAAACGAAAATGCAATTATACAAGTTGGGTCCTTTAGGAAAAAACTTTTAAATATTCCTCAAAACCTAAATCACAAATTAGTTTACGACTCAAAAAAGATATTTTAGGGAACTCCTTTGAAATATATTGTGTATTTTTTCTTATGTCTAGACAATAAAGTATAACCTTATAAAGCATGAGACTATAATGTTTGTCTGTCTGTATGTGATTTTAACAAATGTAAACATAAGTTTTTGATCTTTTTAATTATTGAATTAAAAATTATTTCACGAGTGACAGAGATGGCCTAACTCAAAGTATTTGGTTTCCAATTTGTACCAACACAAAATGACGGTAATTGATAAAGACAACATACCTCGCATGCGCAACAATAGTAACAAATGTAAACATAATAAAAACCATTATACACGGCCTCACAAAAATTAAAATATCTTAATTGTTTATGGACCTATAGCACCTGTAGGATACAGATATCTAAGAGCATCTCCTCAGCCTTGAAGAGTACAATTGAATCACCTGAACCACCCTGAAGACCATTAGTTTCAATAAAGAAGGCAGGGTTCGGCCTTTCCGCTTTCTGACTTTGGTAATTACTCTAGTGAAAATTTGGTAAGTAACGAACGAGTGGTGAGTGATATAATACAATAAGAAGAGTGATCGTTCCAGCTGGTTCACTGTTTAAATGGCCAAGGAGGGATTACACTTCTGTTGAACAACCAACCATCATCGGATAACACGGAATGTGTTTGGTTCTTTAATGATTTGTTTACATGTATTTACATTGTTATACATATGTTTACATTTGTTATTGACAATCAGCTGTTTTACTACCCAGGATAATTTAAAGCCCAATTATCAGGAATCAACAATTAAATCCAGCGTTAACATTACGCATTATTGAAACACATATCACTATAGCTGAAACAACAAATACCAGTATGTTGTGGTGAAGCACAGTGTTTCCTGAAAATACCCCCGCCACAGCAAGCCTGCCGTCTAAGCGAATTTCCATTTGGCTGAATTGATTTTCAATTGATCTATTTAGATAACATTAGGTTTAACGAGTACCTAGGTTTGCTGCTACAAGGAAACTAATAAAGTGTGTGTTTTAAGTAAAATAATTATTGCTTAGTATAAGCAAACTACACAACATTTTACAATATTCTCCATAAGAAGAACATGGGAATTTTAAATTTACCATTTTTTTAGTTTTCTCCGTAACCAATAACCGTACAAAAACACTTTGGTATACTAAATTGTTTGTTTTATAAGCTCTTTAAGAAGGATTAGAGAAAAATTGGGAAATTTTGTGTTTTGAGGGTCAAAAGTGAGAAAAACCAATTTTTACCCCATAAAACCCTGTTACTCATTCAAGTTTATCCCGCCTTACACCTTCAAACCAAATTTCATCAAAATCGGATAAAAATTACTCAAGTTATCGTGTTCACGGACACACATATATATATATATATAAATCTATATAATATATATATACATATATAAAAATTTTAACGAATGGTGTTTTTGGCCTCTGGGGACATCAAAATGAAAAAGTAAATCGGTCCCGGGCCTAAGTCTTACCATGAGACCTACGGTAATAGCTACTTCCCTATAGGGAAATTCGCTTACAGAAAAGTCCATCATTGTGAAGAAAGTTTGGACTCACCGGACATTAAGATTAGTCCGCGAATCACTCAGGTGAAAATTGCACGATCATGATCAGGGATGTGATGGAAATGTGACCGCTTGGACTTTCATACTCGACTACCATTTCGCTCTGCACTGGAATTACTTGTTAATGGGTTATACATAACTGACGTGGCTATAATTATCACAGTATATCAAAACATCGTCATAGAAATGTTCTTTGAAAACACCACCGCAACAGCAGACTTGTAGACAAATTTGTCTGAATGGATTTTGACTCTAATATTTTCTTAAACTAGTCGGACGTGCTCTTTTTTTTAAATAACATTAGATTTAACGAGTACCTAGGTTTGCTACTTGACATATGTGTTTATACTACTTCCCTTTTATAGGAAGGAAACATTTTTCTTTATAAAATGTTAACATTATAAAATCAAATAAATAGGTTGGGCAAATTTTATCATAATATATCCTTAAACAAGAAAACTACAAGAGTTTTTTTCCTTCTTAAGAATAACAGTACATTAGAATTTAAAATTTACAGCGTTTCCTCCGTAACCTTTAATTGCACAACAAAGTCTCAACATACAATCTTTTTTGTTTTTTTAGTCCTACACGATGGCTGCAATAAAAATTGGACCCCGTCACATCTCGTTTCTAAGCCCGATCTTGCTGGTTGGAAAACTCAATCAAGTTTTTCTAGCTCTAGACATTCGTGCTAAATTTAATAAAAATCGGACAAAATGTGCTTGAATTATCTTGTTCACGGACACAAATAATCATAAACAATAATACTGTATACAATTTTAAACGAATATTTCTTCTGGCTTCTGTGGATATCAAAATAATAAAATAAATTCGTACTGGGTCTAGGTTATATATTACCGTGCTACCTACGGTAATATCTATTTCCCTATGGGATTCGTTAATAACGTTATCTTCAATAATTAGTATAACTGTTCAGCAAGCTTTCATTATTATTTAATTCAAATTTCATTATCATCAACGTTAGTTATTAGTTAGTTATATTTATACTTATTTCTTTTTCATCCACAAAAATCTGAAGATAATTTGTTAATTTAGAGTAAACTATTTTTTCACTCCTAAACCCTAACAAAAAAATTAATCCCTAAAAACATTGAAATGTCCCATTTTCATTGCAGCCATCGTGTCGAGTGAAAAATAAAACAAAAACAATATTTGTAGCTTTATTGTGCAAAGGTTACGGTAAACGTATTGTATGGTTGTAGCAAATGTTATTGGGCAAAGGTTACGGGAAACGTACAAAAACAGTAGATTTAAAATCCTTATGTTATATACATTCATTTTCAGCGGTATACATGCATATTTCCAAATGTGTAATCCATATAGTAGTCAAGATAAATCAAGAAAAAAATTAAAAATATAAACAGGGCTCTACTTTAAAATGATACTGCAATAACTATTCGTAAATTACTCAAATTAGTTAATAAAATTTATACGGACAGTTTTTTTTTTTTTTTTTTTTTTTAATGGACGAAATTCACTCTTTTTATCATTGTGGTACTTAGGCTATTAACTTACTCCACTTGGCTCAATATCTACTTATACGGGGTGTTTCAGAATTCGTATCGGATATTTTAGGGTATTATTCTTAGGTAAGAATCATATTTTAATTGATTTCATTAATGGTTTTAATTAATTGACTTGATTGTTCCTCTAACTATTTTTATGTACATACATACAGTGCCATGTATTACATTTTATCAAGATCTTACACATCATACACACGAATAGGCATGTGTGACTTGTGTGTAGGTTTTACAAAAATCTGTAGCAGGTATGTGTAACGAGCAGTGAATCCTTACATAAAAGTCCTTACATCATCTGCAAGGCAAACCTAAACCCTAATGATTAGGCATAATCTGATTCGGTCTATTGTCTACTATTCTTCTTAATTGTGGTCTTTGATACTAAAATTCATCTCTGATGCGAATCTTAAAATAACAACAATGCCTAAATATGAATAAACCAATTAATCTTTCTCTAATTAAAAGTGACAGTATAATTAACTGAGCCAATTACCATAATACATTATAAATAATATTAGCATTTACCATTGTGCAGCCGAGTATCTTCCGTTTCCCCCGAAAACCAGCCATTCTTTGCGAAAAGTTTGCATTTCCGTGTGCAAAGTCGGAGACACACGGACGAGGATCGGATCACGCGAATTCCTTGTCTTCGGACAAAGAAGAGTCATAATTAGGTGAAACTCGTTGCGTGCAGTGTTCCGAACCAGTCGTTGGTGTAATGACACTTCCTTGCTACAGATGGCAATTACCACCACGTGCGTGGTCCTGTCACCGCCCCTCACAACAACTCACTCCGCTCGCTATGGTCAGTGGTCAGTGGTCGAGGCGTTAAACAGATTGACACTTAGGTCACGGACTAAACAGCTGTTGTACAATATTGGGTTCTACAATGCCGTGGACAGAGTCGTCCTCACAAAGCAAACGGTAACATTTTTGTTGCCTTCAGGGGAGGGCTGGAACTGCACTCACGGTCAGTCCCTGGTCCTAATCCAACTACGGAACTGCACTCACGGTCACTTTGAGCCTTTCTGGAGGTACTGGAACTGCACTCACGGTCAGTTTTTAATTAGCCTATATCACATTGTGCAACACCATGATTGAATTGAATAAAACTTATTAAATTAGTTGAAATATATTGAAAAGTTTTGATTAAATTAATCTAAACGTCAAAAAATAAACTTACTACTGACATTGTAAAAAATACACATACATATGTGCACAGAAATTCTAGCATAGTATTTACTATAACATGATAGGCTATATTCTTATTATAACGAAGCTTCTTTTGTAAAGGTTAGGTTAGGTTAGGTTAGGTTAGGTTAGGTTAGGTTAGGTTAGGTTATTTATTGTTGTATTTATTGGTACAGACACTAAAACGTGTATTAAATAAAGTAATGGATAAAGTAAGACAGAGGACGGAATAAACAGATGACTAAGGGGCTAGCGAAGCGTTCAGCCGTGAAAGACCGATTTTTGACCGTGAGTGCAGTTCCATATGGCTTAGGCGGGCTACCCTTCCAACCCTAGTAAATTCCTTTGACCGTGAGTGCAGTTCGTTGTCAGCCGTCTTCAGTGCTGTAGAGTACCGCACTCTACAGCACTGAAGACAAAATAGTTTCTGTACATCAACAATATAGGAAATAAGGATACACCTCTCAATTGTAAATCTGTCGTAAAAACTTATACTTTGTATCTAATCCCGAATCCTAAAGCCTCGAGGATGTAACAATTCAAATATACTGAAAAGTGCATATAATATTATTATTTTTAAATATCTAAATAACCGAAATCAGTGCCATAGCCTATTTTTTTACACTTGGTAGTGGTATTTTGCGGTCAGCTCGTTGTGTGTGGTTGTTCTGTACCGAATCCCAAAGTGTCAAAGAGAAAATAATTCCAAACCCCCGAAACATTTAATGACCTACAGCATATTGTTGATGATGTGTATATTTTTTCTCGCTTGGAGAGTATTGGTCAAAACTTAGCGTTGGGTCCTAAAGTAACGAATCCTGCAGCGCTGGTGTCAAAGTATAAATCCCTCTCAAGAGATCTGAATTCATTCAGCAATACAGTATATATACAGTATATTTAGCATAATATGATGCTAAAACTTCTTTAAGAAAATCGTCGTAAACATAGCAACGAGCCGTTTAGTCCCACAGTGCCGAATGGTATTTTGACTTTGAGTTTGAAACCCCACAACACTGAAGACGACTGAATTCTTTACACCAAAGTAATTACAATATGGGATCTTAACATCACTTAAAAAGGTTCGGCTATGTAAACATGGTGAACTTCAACAGGCTAGGCTACAAGACTGATTTAACTAATTAATGCACGGATTTAGACGAGATAAAAGTAACTACCCGTTTTAAAAATAAATGAATAAATAAAAATAAACAGTTGATCAGTTATATTGTAAATCAAAGGGAAACAGAAAAGTTATCGTACATCTTGAAAGGGTCTTTAATCTGTGATCAGATTGTTATGTTTTCATTCTACGGTGGTGGTTACTTACCGCAGGTTAGTAATGATCGTCGTGGTAGTCCTCGTGGTAGTCGTGGTGAACCTCCTCGTGGTGGTGGTGATGATGGTGGTGGTGGTGATCATAGTGCTCGTAGTGGTGGAAGATCGGAATCTTCTTTATGTGGTGATGATGGATTGTGTGGATCTTGTAAGGCACGTGGATTATGAATCTGGAAGAAAAAAGTAATGAGATTCACAAACTGTAATGTTCATGAACAATACTCCATTGATTATATTAAATAGTCGTATTTTTTTGACAAATTTGATCAGAATGTCCATGCTTGATCGCCAAAACAACATTTTAAATTTTCTAATAAAACCTATTGATAAGTTACCACACATTTCCAATTTCTTTTAATTCAATTTGTTATGCTAGTTTAAAGGCAAGTAAAGGTTTAACTGATTGTGGAATGGTTGGGTAAGTTTCAGAGGCTGCGTTTTATAAAATAATTGAATCGTCATCCTGATTGTAAAATGAATCAACAGTTGACTGTAATTATTTAGATAAATTATAAAGCGTTATCAAACAATCAAGTTCAGTTTTGACTATTTTAAGCTGAAAAGAATCATTGTAGAAAGATATTTATGTTCAGAAAGTTTCATAAATTAAAGATTGTTATCAAATAAATATGTTGGGGCATCGGGCTATCTGGCTGGACGAACCTTCACTGGGCACAAGCCAAAAAGGGTTCACTAATCCTCACCTTGGCTGGGCACATGGTCCACGCCAGGCAGATGGCGCGCGTCAATGAATTCCTAGAAAATCCCGAGTGAGCAAAGAAAGTGCATGTTACATGTTATTCAAAACAAGGGTTAAGTTTATCCTAAAATCCCACCATTAGATGATTCAAAAGCCAAAATATAAGTGAAGTGATGTATCAAGAAAGAAGACAGCTGGCAACAACAATGAACCTCTTTTGTGAAATTCTTCGCTTGTCTATCAGACATGACAGATTAAGCACATTATAGCTTATTACGTTACTAGTCCTGAAAATATGTGTTTACTGGACGAAAAGTAAGTAAGTAAGTATTACCATACGAGTCCGGTAAACACATTTTGGACGAGTGACGTACGATAGTTTACTCTTGTATTAATTAAACTAGGACTAATTTTAACTAGGATTAATTTTCTATTTTAGTGAGGGTCTCATCCACAAATATCTTCTAAAGTAAAATGTTATAAAAATATAGCTATAAGCAATAGAAGAGCAGTGGTCTATATATTCTTTTGTTTTTATTAAAATTTGTACTGCCACATCAACATTTAACGATAAGCCACTGTGAAAAATCAATACTGGTGAGAACTTTCAATTTTGTGATTATCAGACCTAGACACCTGAAGAAATTTATCAAAGACACATTCTTATTTTCAGTATATCAAACTAAACATGAAATATCCAAAAGTACAATGTTTGAAAAACTTTCTACAAATCATCAAGAACAATACAATACCCCCGCCACAGCAAACCTGTAGACGAAGCGAATTTCAACCTGTCTGGTTACATTTTTTCTATAAATAAGACATATTTATTCCCAATTTCAATAACATTAGATTTAACGAGTGTTAACGAGGTTTGCTACTACGGGAAAGGTAAAACATGTTTTTCGACCATACGTCAATAGTATAGAATGAAATAAATAAATTTGCCAAATTTTATCAAACTATATCCGTAAACCACAACAACAAAAGTAAACTACAACAGTTTTCATTTTCTCCATGAGACTGTGGTCGTTCCCGTGCGAGACGAAGTCGAGTGCGGGATTGCTATACGAGTCCGGTAAACACATTTTGAACGAGTGACGGACGATAGTTTACTCTTGTTTAAATGTTTAAATTTTAACTCAATCTATCTTGTCTTGGAAAAATATATAATTAAAAATATCGTTATGCCAATGGTTTTAATTATTAATTTTGTCTTAATTTTTTCATCTTTTCATAAATTGGGTTTAAATTTTGTGTTTGCATTATGTTAAGGATGTTGTTTTCATTTTTCTTGTTACTAGATATACATGTAATTCTTCTTTTACATTCATCCTTCCTCCTTTTTGTTCATATTCTAACATTTTGACACTATCTTTAATTTGTCCATAACTATGGTTATGTGATAAAATGTGTTCGGCGTACATTGATTTTTGAGTTGTTATTTTGTTGTATTTTACTGCTTGAATGTGTCCTTTGAATCGTCAAGAAATTGATCACCATATTTGTCCCATATAAAGTTTAGAGCAATCTTTGCAGTTGATTTGGTATGTTCCTGATTTTCCACATTTGTGCATTAGTTGTTCATAAATATATATATATGCAAATGAAAACATTAGAAAACAATTAGTACCCTTTTAACTCATTTTATTATCAAACAACTAGTTTCAACACTTGGGCCATAGTCATGTTGATATTTTATTCAAATATAATAACAAATAATAAAAGGAATAATTATAATCATATAACTAACTATACTAACTAAGAGCTAACTTAGAATTTAGAGGATATTGATTTATTCTTTGTTTAATTTTGAGTATATCATATAATATTTCTGTTTTATTGCAATTGTAGGATTTTTTCAAACATCGGATTTGTTTTGTGGGTGTTCATGGTATTCAGTAAATTTTGAGGAAATCTTTAGTAATTTGGGTATATTTATGAAAATGCTCTTTGACATTTATATTAAGATTCATTATTTTGTTATTCTAGAATTTCTAAAGTTCCATGTATATTTTTATATTTATGCCACGTTTCAATTAGGTGCTCTGCAAATTTTGATTTCATTGTCGTTTTGTTACCTGATTTTAATGCTTGTATGTGTTCGTGGAACCTTTTCTTGAATTTACGACTTGTTTGGCCAATGTAGGATTTATTACAGTCTGAACATTTTATTTGATAAATGCCGGATTTGTTCATACTGTGTCTTTAACTTGGTTGTTATATGTTTCATTAGAAATGTTTAACATTAGCCCCACAACCAATTTCTCAAAACTATACTAGAGGGTACTATTCAATGGCACAGAAGTTCGATATAAACTGACGCGACGTGACGAAGGAAAAGTCAAACTAACACTGTGACGGATGGACCTCCCTTTTAAGTTAGAATGTGTCTCCTCAACAAACAGATATTTTTTTTCTCAAATATAATCATAGATTAATCTGTATTGCACTGATGAAATCGCGGAAGTTTTTAACTACAAAAGATCCATACGATTTTAATACTATTTAAAGGTTCTTCCAAAAGAAGAGATACCAGTTAACATACTAATAATAACTCCGATGACGTACGGTATGGGAAATATTTTATTCATTGAATGATCAACCATATTTGGTAACTAACGCAATTAATAGCATTATTGTTTTAACACTTATTAATCTTTAAACAATGCTAATTGCTCAAAATATGTATAATTTTCACTCAATTTATCGCAGTTGGATTAATTAAAGTAAGCCTTGAAAGTAAACCGTCGATTTTGACGGGTTTCACTTAGTATCTGTCTATTCTGTTTAAGAGATTTAAAAAAATCTAAATTGTAAGAGTTTGTTAGCTCACAGGATCATGGGAGAGGGTTCAAATTACAGGTCACAGGGGGTTGGGAAAAATAGCGGATTATGTCCAAATCTACCAGATCATGAGAAATAATGAAAAATATGCTCATTAACATGTGATTACAAATGAATAATTGTAACTTTTATTCTACTTTTAATTCTGTTGGTAGAGTGTAGTTATAATAAATACAATAAGCCCAACAGTTTTAGTGGTTTGTACTTACAGTCTTACGTTCATTAGTTACGTCTTTAGTTCACTGGCTGGCTACGTGAGTTCTTCCCGTGGTTCTTCCTGGAACCGAGGGGGGCAGACCCTCCCTGCCAAAGATAAAGGATGTGCCCAGCCAAGGCGTTTCAGTTGCCGCATGTGCCCAGTAAAGGCAAGCCCATCTGGCTATGGAGCAATCATTTATATTGCAAGAGATTAATGAGCGTAATCGTTTAGGAAACCATTTTGGAAAAGTGACTCTTTTTGACCCGAGGTCAAGTTTTCGATCGAGGTGAAGCCGAGGTTGGATAATAAGTGAGGGTTAAAAAGATACTTTTTGCCCGTCTTGTGATCTATATTTTTCGTCATATTGCATAATAACTTAACAAACTAAACTAGAAAACGAAATAATTTGTGTGTAAAGATAACCTCTAAATCGACTTCCACCTTGTTTTCAATTCTCCTAATGCAAATAAGCAGCTGTTTAGTGAGTGATTCAATAATTTCGTCTATTACGATTGTGTTATAGTATATTATACCATCGATATGTCGAGCGATCGACCACAATTATAGGCTAACACCTTACCTAATAAATCAATCGATGAATAATTTTGATCAATACGATTGACACAATCGAAATTTACAACTGTTTGATTTTTACTCCCTAGAGACAAAAAAGTGGTTTTTACTCCTTAGTGAGTAAAAATGCTACCTTAGACCTGCAACGCATGCATTAAAACTGCTGTTTTTGCTGCATTATGACGAATAAAGTTGATCCTAGAGTATGAAATTTTTGATTAGTCTTGACAAAGGTCAGTCCAACAACATGCTGTACTTTGCAGTTCAATCAACCATTTCTTATAGATCGGAGCTAGAATGTTAACAAGAATTAACTAGAATGTTGAAAGAGAAAATATGACATTATCTGAGACAGTTCCTACATTGCTCTATTATCTACTCGGGTAACAGTTTCCCTCTGGTAATCGTTACTTAACGATTAGCGACGTTCCTCAGATCACAGCTGTTAAATGTCTCTTCCTAAAGTAATAAAGTACTTGCATGCTCACGCAACGTTTTCACAAATTATTAAACGTTTCACGAGTTGATTAACATATTTTCAATTATTTATTAATGTATAACCATAATAGCCTCTATTATTGCCTATTAGCGCCTATAAATGCAAGCGAAAAACAGCATTTGTTACTTTGCTGTATGTATGGCATTTACTTATTGTTCAACATATTTATAGAACAGATTGTAAAGTAAACAAATCTTATATACTAAACAACGTTTGCAAAACTTATGACAGCTAGCCTGACTATACCACTGGACCAAATTACTCGTGGTTGGTACCAAATGAAAGACCTGTAGAGGTGCAGAATCCCTTTATAAATTGAATTAGGCTCACAAATAAGCACAAAAAAATAATTATAAAAAAATAACATGGGTCTTATGGGTTGTCAGGGTGATGACGAAATAACAACAAAATATAAACAGAAAATCAAAACAAATGAAAGATATTCCAATCACATGTTTTATTTACAGTGTGTGGGGAAAACAGAGAAGTCTGTACATTACATATTTTTGGTTGGGTTTTCAACCACTGGGCGACCTCTATGAACATATTATATAAAAATACTAATGGAGACTTTTCTTATGGAGATTTAACTTGGGACAACATTTTAAAGCTTACAACAGCTAGCCTGACCATACTACTGGACCAAATTACACGTGGTTGGTACCAAATGTAATTGTCTCTATATTTGTCCATTTTGCTTAGATTTCAGATATTACTTGCCTAAATGTTTTAAAAACTGAAATTAAAAAATCTATTGACAATTTAACATGGGGTAAAATTTTAACTCTCATAGGAGTGAGATCTGGAGATCTATAGGACAGATTTACATGCAGGTTGTGTTAAATGAATTAATGTTTCCCATGTGCCTGAAAAGTTTACTATTCCTTTAGTGAATCTTATATATTGAAAAGCTTTTGGAAAACTTAAGACAATTAGCCTGACCATAATACTGGGCTGATTTACACGCACGTTGTACCAAAAGAAGGCTATGAAAGAAATTTTAATCGCATGTTTTATTTACAGCGTGGGGTTAAAATAAAGAAGTTTGCACAATACATACTTTTGGTCAAGTTTTTGACCACGGGGTGAGCTCTCGTAAAAAGTAATAAAAAAAACTACTTGAATTTTTTAGCTGTCAGTGTAAGAAACAACACTGAGTAGTTTTTTTGTTAAGTGGACCTATGTTTAAAATAAAAGGTCCTACTACGTTAAAAAGTATTAAATTTATGATAAAAAATATAATACTTTAATATAATACTATATATCTATTATTGGAAACATGTGCTACATACACATGAGGTGTTTTCACTTGAAGGTGAAAGGTTTTTTTTATTCATGATGTACCGAGATACCGTATCCTACTTCCATTTCCAATAGTAAAAAGTTGCACTACATGGCAGAATATATGATCCCCTAGAAATAGAGACAATGACACTAGAAGGTGTGGATTTCCATATCACCTATTTCTCAAATCTAGGGAGAGTAAACTCAGATTATTAAAATTAATATTTTTAGGGGTTATCATACAAATGAATTAAAAACTATTTTCAACTTACTACATCAATTTGAATGATTTCTTCACCAAAACTCATTTCTCTTGTTTATACTACTCGCATAACTAGGCCTAGCCATCTAGCCATATTACAGTATATATTTAGGATGATTTTTATGACATAAATCTTATTGAAAGATACGGCAATTTTTAAAGATGCAGGCCATTTTAATTTGGATTTATTTAGTTTATTCTAAATAGTTGTTATTTTTTTCTTAAAAACTCGGAGTGATTATTTCATAATAGAATTGTTCTTAGGTTAAAACATTGCTGAGTTTTTACACTAACGAGCTTAAAATGTTTATGTATTGTATTTAAAGCTTTCTATAGTCTGTAAAGAACAGAGTGATTACTACACACGTTGATATAAATGCAGTACATTACCTGCACATATTATTTTAAATATGCCGTTACAGTAGTCAAATATCCTTTAATAGCTATCGTAGGTAGGCCTACTTTCTTATATGTTTACAATGGAATTTTTACAACTGATCCTCTGTCATTTTGTATTATTCTTATTCAAAATTTAATGTAGAACATGAAAATTACATTATCTACTCAAATCCATATACAGGTAATTGAGAAATCACTGTATTAAGTTTAAAAGCATGGTTTTTTTTTTAAACATAAAATAATTTTTTGGTAAGCTAATTTTTAGACTTGGAACATTTTATATGCATCATCACACTTCATTTACTTTGTACTTACACCAAACAATTTTTGTCACACTGAGTACCAATCACCCTGTATAACCTTTTAGGAACGCATAATTATCAGGTCTTTTTTAAAATGTTTATGTAAATAACGGTAAATTGGCATAATTGAACATAAAGTTTGTGAATTAAATAGTGTGTACATGCACTATGATTATACGTAACACTACGTTATCTTAAGTTAAGAATTGTTCGAATTAGTTTTGATTTGAAATGGCTACACATTGTAGAACATATACATTTTTTGCAAAACCACACAATTATCCCTTCTTCGGCTTGTTAATGTATTTTTTACGTCTTTAAAGACACGTTTTAAGGGTTTTACTAAGTTTGTTATGTTTTATTAAACGTTTGTAAAACATATTCATAAATAATGTGAAGAGATTTGAAAAGGTTTATATACATACTTTTATAACTAACTATTAATGTTACATTTTTTTGTAAACTTCAAACTTCTAATCTTAAGCTTTAAAAAAGGTTTAAGGTCAAATCGCAAGAATCCTTATCAAGTCCACAATCACAAGAGTTGGTGGATATCATTTCACGCTCATTCACCAATAACAAAATACTTATTATTTCAAGGCAATTCCACGCATTCTTTGATCAAACCTAGTAATAAACTCATGTGCCATGGTTTAGGCAGAGTAAATGTAAAAAAATGAAATCTGTTGATACTTACTTTTTATGATGGTGTCCGTCAGGAACAGGAGCAGAAAATATTAATCCAACCATCGCTATCAGCAAAATCTGGAAAAATTTTAATCGCAAGAGAATCTCAAAAACGTTTCAATGCAACTACAATCTAGTCATTGGAACCTGTAAGCATAGAAAAGGTCTTGCCCTTGCTTTAAGTATCTGGATTATATCAAATGAACTATGATGGTGTGATGTAAACATGTAAGTCCATTTCATTGTATAAATCATATGAAAAGAAAATTTAAGCTTAGGCCTACACACTGAAGGCTGTCAGAACTAATCCCTCTATTGATGTTGACGTTATGCATTTTCGAAACATTATGGACTGTATGCCGGTGAAAATAATTAAATATTGATATACAATAAACCCAAAATGTGAAAGAGTTATAGTAGCTAGATTGTTAGTAAACAAATTGTTCAATAAATACAAGTACATTGTTCCACAAATATATTACTTATGATACATAAATCCGGTAAAACTAGGGACTAATAATGTTCAATTAAACATTAAAACAAAATCTGCCAAAAAGATAATCTAAAAAGATACCAAAACTATCTTTCGTTGGATGTTTAAGCTTATCTCTAAAAAATAATTGTTTACTATACAAAATTGACGAATAATATTAATTTACACAAAAGCAGCCATGTAATAAAAAGTTTAAGTAAACTTATATTGTTTGTTAAATTTGTTATAGCAAATAAATAAAACCAAACAATTTTCGGTATCGTTACAGTATTTTGATGTGAGAATGTAACTACGGCATATTTTTATTTATTTATTTATCAAGTGAAATGCTACTCACGCCCAGTTTGACCAAGTCCATGGCGAGGCAAGGACCGAAGCAGATACTATGTGAATCGGCCGTAACCTTCACCGCGTCGCTTATATAGACTGGGAAGGAGGTACTATGGTGCTGGGGGAGGGGGCACTTTCATGCATATGGTGCACTACTGGCTTATGTCACAAGTATGATTACAGATCACAATGCATGGCGTGCATGTTGGTGAGTTTTTGATAACTGTCACCGCAGACAAGGAAACCGAAGGATTTCCATAGGTGTTCGCTAAAGAAGTGGATTTTTGTCTTCAGCTCTGCAAAATTTCAAATATGAGTTTTATTATTCTTTAAGGTACTTGTGAAAACGTAACACAGTTACTTGAGTAGCCCTAATAAGCCTGCAACGTAAAATTTAAAATTCTGATGAGGGAAAACTATTTCCATAAATTATAGTCATTATATACTTGACACGAGCAAATGCGAATGGCTTTTGGACTCTTAACATAGATTAATCAACAAAATGTGTAACTTTTTAATTTTTATTTATTCAAGACTAAACACCTTTTAAATGATTCTTTTTAGAAGTTCAAATTTGGTGATGAGTTTGTGATGATCTTTCTCAGATTCAATGTTGTTCAAGGGATTTTTACTCACATTTTCCAGATTTCAGATCCCGAAAACTTAGCATGAAATCTTGCTTTCGTCATACTGCAGCAAAAACAGCCGTTTTTTATACATGCATTACGGGTCCAAAGTATATCTTTTTCCCCTAGGGAGTAAAGAGTATTTTACGCCACACTACACTATTTTTACGAACTTCTCACGCAAGGATTTAGTCCAGAAAACAGCTGTTTGCCGCTAGCTTAATCAAATGGGGTTTCATTACGTACTACTGTGCTGTCATGAGTTTTACCGGACACCAATCAGCTGATTATACTGTATTTGGGGGCATGAGTGGTCAGAAACAAAAAAAAAAAAAAAAAAAAACATAACCTCTCGTTATCACTTGTGATTTTTAGTCCTTTAGTTAATGGTAATATATAAGGATTTGTACAGATTTAGTGGTATGGCGTAAACTATCGTACGTAACTCGTCCGAAATGTGTGTACCGGACTCGTATGGTAATCCCGTACGGGACGGCCTTCGTCATACTGCAGCAAAAACAGCTGTTTTAAAATGCATGCGTTGCGGGTCTAAAGTCGCATTTTTACTCTCTAGGGAGTAAACATCATTTTTACTCTCTAGGGAGTAAAAATCAGCTGTTGTAAACAGCTAGTATTGATGGACGAGATCGTATTTAGCTTTTAATATCAATACAATTTTAGTATCAATGGTTTTAGTAAATTGTTGCATTCTTGTCAATATTTCGACATGTCGATAGTACATTAACCCTGTCGTAATAGACGAAATTATTGCAAACTTACCAAGCAGCTGCTTGATTGCATTAGCAAAAATGAAAACAAGTTTTTTAGGGGGGGGGGAGGTTACATAACAGTATTTCCGTTTCCTAAATTAGTTAGCTTAAATAATGGTACATATGACGAAAAATATAGTTTATCACATGGACAAACGTGTCTGTTCAACCCTCGCTCATTCTCCGACCTCGTCTTCACCTCAGTCATCAAACCTCAGTTCAGGTAAAAAAAAACAGAGTCATTTTACGCGCTTATGATGGAAAATCTCCGCAAACAAAATTAAATAATATTTTTTTTTACAATCGCTGTATTATTGCGGAAGTTTATTTGCAGTCAAGTCACTGCTGGCAATATTCATTTTGTTTACTCAGGTGTTATTTAGAGTTATAAACAACAACATTGACAACTGGCCTTATTTTTGCTACCGTTGATTTCGAAACATTAGACAAATATAGTAGTGCCAATTTTGGTTCAGTATTAAGACATATTATTAGGCTTCGAAAAATATACTTAAGTAATCATTGAGCTTTAAATGAATGTTTGATCCGAAATATAACTACAGTAGTACAAAAACGCAACATTGACTTTTAAAACCCTCGTTTACATTTAGTAACAAAATATTAATTTCATTTTCCATTATACTTTTTTTCTAAATGTAATAAGAATAAGTTGTTTCAATCCATTTACTTTCCAGCACTACGTTAGACTCAATATTATACTACCAAAACAATCTCTGCAAAACAAAATATTACATAGATCTTAAACTTATTATAAATTATTTTATAAACGTGGCAAATAGCTTTGACAAGAGACCTGCGATGGCCAGTGTCATGGAAGCCATTCATTGACTGGAGCCTGCAGAATGGTGTTGTGTTGAAGCTGAATCATCAGTTACTTAACGGTTTGCGGCGTCGTACCCTTCACCTTGGCCTGGTCGTGGACCTCCAAGGTTACTCTTACTTTCCTCCTCCGATGCCATCGACGCCCCCGGTCGGGACTCCGCCCCCTTGGATGTCCGTCATCTGTTTGAAAACTGTTATTCTGTTTTGGTATGCACCTGTTGGACTGAGTTTCCATATTTTTCAGTAATACAATTTTTAGTGTTGTTATATTTTTTTTATGGGTACTGAATAAATATAAAAGTATCGTTGCTTAGTGGGAGGGAATTAGAATCTTATATACCTGGTTAGATAAAAGTGCCCTTATATGTGAAAAGGATAGTAATTTTCGGATCGAGTAGAATAGATCATGTTATTCTTACGAGACTGTTGTTCACGCCTAGTGTTGAAGAGACTATCAAACTATGTGTAGCGAAAAGAACAAATCATATTAAAGTGTATGAAGCTTAATAAATAAAGCTGTGTGTAGGCTAAAGCTTTGGGTTTAGAGAGTCAGATAAATTTAAACTCTCTTATAAATCAAAATATATTTACATTTAAAATTTGCTTTTGATTTGATGAACCCGTCGTCACAACATCGTCACTACATTATTGTAATGAAACAATTTTATGTATTAAAAACCACATAATTTAATTAATTTTTTTTGATCGAATAGATTAAGCCTACTTCCATGGGAGGAATATAAAATTGTAAGAAGTTTTATTGTAGTTGTAAGTTTAATGAATGTTGTAACTAAATACATCAGAGTCGTTAGAATGATGCAGTTGTCTGACCGAAAAACAATCCTATTCCACAACATTTTATACACACAACATTTTTTGGAGTGGGTTGGAATACGGTAGTAGTAATATCATAATATCCACATGAAGTATATAAACACGCCCGTGAAATGTGATCCGTGATTAAATACAAACAATGAAAATCAACTGTCTGGATAAAGATAGCCACTAAGTTAATATCCCTATTATTTCCGTCTCAGAGCTTCCAGTAAATACTTATCGTATTATCTTATACATTTTATAAGCTCTACTGTAATAGTTCCTTTACTTTGAATATCTGACAACAAAATTTGCTAATTGGAGCAACATTAAATGTTACACTTAGTTGGGTCTTTTATTCATATTAGAAATATCGTGTTGGCATTGGTATTATTCGGTTGAGTGCAAATCTTAAACTTAGGAAACAATTGATTTAAGATAAATTTAAGTTAATTTATTATATTTTACAGAGAATAAGTCACAAATTATAGAAAACAACATATCCAGGGATTGAACCTACTGTATGACGCTTGGTACCAGCAACTTTCGCTATGGCTAAACTTCTGCCACCTTTATCACTTTCACCATTTTATATGATAACATCTGGATGATGTATCAGTACCCTTCACATCAGTTACATATTCAATACCAATCAATATTTTACTATACCATGTCAATGTGTTTGTTTTTCTCCTTTAGGTGCATTTATCCACTAATTGTGGTGAAACTACGTTCACGACGAGTTCATACACACAGTAAACTTGGTTTCATATTATAAACAAGATACTTGCAAGGGATAGGCAGGCGTAAAATTCTGTAGCTTCCAAAAATACAGGGTGTTTTTTTTTTTTTTTTTTTTACACAATCCAGTTTAAAAGTACTGTTTAAAAGACACATTTTAATGACGAAACCAGCTTAAATGTTGGTATCCCTGTTTTCCTTTCTTTATTGTCGATCAGCTGATATGCATTGTTGCATAGTTATCTATATGATTTAGTGCTATTGGGATTTTATTGTAGGTAAATATGACTTGGCATGGTGTTCTCCCCATCGATCTCTATTATTGCATCGATGTTCTCTCAAGCTCGAAGAGTTACAAGAAATGTTTAAAAGTAAATCATTGGTATTATGGCATGATATGTTTTAAATTTAGTTTCCAGGTAGGATTCCCGTACCTAATAAATCAATTATTATTTAAATGTAAAACTTTGACAAAATCGGATCAGTAGCAAACAAAAAAACGTAGACCTTCAATAGAAATTCTATTTCAGCTTGTGAAAACACCATGTTATATATAGCCATAGTTATATTCTATGGTTTAAAATTTGCATTTTTTATTTGATTGAAAACTCGGTACACAAAAAGTCCTGTGTTAAACTACAAATTAAACACAAATGTTTTTTGTTCGATGCTGTATTTGTGTGGTCGTAAATTTGATCAAGATAAAGGTTGAAACTATTTCTATCAAACCATTTTAAGTTATGGTACTAATCTGAGAACAAATTTTCTGTAAAATTGGAATTTTACAGAATTACGGAATTTTACGGTTTTTTATTCTCTGTCCTTGTTGAATTTAAATTTTACAGTATAGATTTAGATTAAAACTAATATTACAATATGATGGGCCCGTTGAATATATGTCAAAAACTAAATGCCATAAACTTGCATATAATATTACATTTCCTCTTTACTAATTCATAAATGATATTGAAAGATTAAAAAATCACACAAAATGTCCGACGCCCTTTATGTAACCCTACACTAACCCCATAACACTTTCTGCATGCAGTCCCGGAGCAGGGAATCGTCTTTCAAGGACCTCAAGGGAGAAAGCAAAATATCCATTACTTCTAGTTTTTTCTCATCTTCTTCAAGACATTGCAGGTCAGAGGTGTCATAACTCTCTCAGAGCAGGAAGAGAGCATAAATATCTGTAATGATCTGCTACTGCTGATACCGGACGGCTACGGCGAGTGTGAGTCAACTTGTAATGGTTATTAAGAGATATGGCAGTGAGG